CCTGCAAAATCTTCCACTTGGGCACAGAGAATAGCCTTCTGTTTTTTAATCAGGCAACAGGTTATGATCCAGTCCAGGACCTGCAGCTGGCAGAGTCTGTGGCCCAGCCACAGGAATGCTCAGCCCCTGGCAGAGGTGGTGGTGACATCTGCCCCAAGAAAAACCTAAACTATGGAGCTGGGGTGATGCCCCAGGCGATGACGAATGTCGTCCCTTGGACACACAGGGCAGCGGAGTCCTGCTTTCCGGGTTTGAGGCACAAGCTTTGTGTCTTCCTGACCTTACCCCAGGCGCTAGCCAGCGGGTGGGTGTTCACCCCTGGGCAGCACCTCCCCAAGAAGGTGTCTCTGCCCAAGCACCCTAGGAGCATGGCAAAGCCTGTGTAAGGCAGCGTGTGCACAGCAGCCTCGCGTGCCTGCTGGAAGGGGACTTCTGCAGGAATGGGAGGAGAAAAAGAAGGAAAAATATGATCAAGCGAAGCCCAGATCCCACACAGCCCTTCCAACCATCCTGCCCAGAGCACGATGTTAGTTGTGTCTGGCTGTCTGAGGAGAAAGCCAGCTGGATGCACATCATCCTGAAGATGGGAAAAGGAGAAAATTAGCATAGAAGCCCTCTCTCTCTCCCCATGGGCAGTGCCTGATCACCACCAAAGCAAAGCAGGAGAGATGAAACACAGAGGATAGTGCAGCTGCCTTTACAAAGAAGGAGGGCAGCTGCAGCTGGTCTGCTCCAAAACCTTGGGACCACTCTCTAAGAGCGTCTTTTATTCCTTTAAAAAGTTAGAGGGGCAGGTGACAAACAGGAGGAGGAGTTCAGAGCCCCATCACCTTCCTTCAGCTGGGGCAAGAAGGAGCCCAGAAGGCTGCACACACAGCGGCGGCGAGCGGGCTATAAATGGCCAAGGGACCCAGTCCTTCCTCCCGCTGGAGATGGACTAAATGCCTGACAGGCTCTAGCATGGTAAAACTCAACATAAATATTTAAAGAGATTGTGAGGTTTATTGTGAGATCTCTGTAGAAGTGTATGCAACAGACAGAAGAAACCTCTGGCTGTAGACATACTCTAGATATATGCAGAGTATGCCTACTACTTGTGTTATTAGGTATAGAAGTTTCATGTATATAAATGTTATGTTTGTTTATACACATAAAACTTTGGTATTTAGTATACAAATCACCAAACCCAGAAATTCCAATTACCAGCTCAATCGCATACCTACCTGACCACTTACCAGTGCACGCAGTAATGAGAAAGCCAATTTGAATACTAATTGTCACACTCCCAGTGAGCAACGAGAACACAACCTAATGGTTAGAAAAGAAATTTCCCCTCGCTTCCTAGGAATTCCCTGGTGCTCTCTAAAAATGTTCATGTGCTTTCTAGAAATTTCAGTGGGCTTTCTGTGGATTTTCAGTGGGTTTTCTAGGAATTTCCCACAACTTCCTAGGAATTCAGACTGGACTCTAGGAATTTTCCCTTACTTTCTGGGAATGTCTTTGTGCTTTCCAGGAATATCCTTGTTCTTTCTAGGAATTGCATAGAGTTTTGTATGGATTATGGACTGGAATTCCAGGGTGCTTTCTGAACAGTTTGATGTGCTTCCTAGCAATTCCAGCCGGCTTTCACACGTGTCTCTTCCTTTCTAGGAAAAGGAAGAGTGCTTTCTAGGCCTTTCTCTGTGCTTTCTAGGAATTTTCAGGTGCTTTTTACGAATGACAGAGCCATTTCTAGAAATATCCAAGTGCTTTCTAGGGATTGCAGAGCACTTCCTGGAAATTTCCCAGTACTTTCTAGCAGTTGCCCATTGCTTTCTAGAAATCGCAGACTGTTTTCTAGGCACTGCTGAGTGCTTTCTAAGACTTACAGTGTGTTTCCTAGGAATATCTTTGATCCAAACTCCAGGCTGTCAACATCCTCCAAGGAGCCACAGGGCTACAAACATTCCTCTGCAGCATGCAGCATCTATTTTTTAAAATAAATAGAAGGGGGCATACCTATCTTCTTCTTTGAACAGTGATGCAGTGGCAAACCCTGGAAGCACAGCAGTCCTTTGCGCTGCCGCGGTTTTGCCATGGTCCAGATGTTTTTGCACCATCTGGAATTCTCAACACAAATAAATTCAGGGATATGGCAAAGTAGAGAGTGTCTAGAGCGCTTGAGCAGGAGGAGACATCCCTGTCAGTGAAGCTGAGGTTTGCCATAGCAATGCACCTGCTCAAGGGAAGATGGCAAAGGCAGGTGTTGCACAAGGTGTCGGATGCTCATCTTCCCTTCCAGAGCAAATGCTGCCCACGGTCCTGACCAATTCCTTCATCAGGAAACCTCACACCTGATTTTAGCATTGCTAAATGCTAGATTATTCACCCTGGGGTTCTTCTGCCCAAGTTCAGCCAACACAATTCCCTTTCTGCTTGCAACAACCCCGGACAAGCAGCCAGCCTCCTCCACCTGGGTCCTTCTGGCTTGCAGCAGGGCACACTGACAGGTACCACCCCACCCCACTGACTCTGTCACGGGCCTGTACCGTCTTTGAACAACACATGGCAGGGCACCACGATGCAAACCGCAGTGCCCTGCAGACTTCTCTGCGATGCGCTGAGAGCGGTGGGGTCCTCACCGCGGTTTCAGGAATCTGCTCTTCTGTTCCTTTGCCCTCACCTGTTGTGACGCGCTTGCTGGGAGTGCTGGGGAAGGAGGGAGCCTGAAGAAAACTGTTGAGGTTTCTCCTGATTTCCTGGAGAAGCTCCTTCCCTAGCAGGATTTCTTTAACTGAGAACATCTCTCAAGCACACTGAGTTGGGAAATGAGATGTTTTCAAGGGCCTCTGGCACAGAGGTGATGGATGAAGTGACCTGCTCCTGGCAGCTTTTCATCCATCACATGAAACGCAAGTAAGTAAAAAGTCGGCAGTTTGGCACAACCTTGGCTCAAACCATTGCTCTGTCCCTTACTGGGACGACCATAATTTGAAGAAGCAAGGCATGGGAGGGGGCATAGATTTGTCAAGGCTGCTTCTGCCTTTCGTAAGATATTTAACATCTTCCTTTCCCAAACAGCAGCAGTCTGCCTCAGTATTTTATTCACAAATACCAACTCACTGCTGCCCGGCCATGCAGCAGTGGTGAAATAACTCCCACGGGTTATGGATGGAGCGCTAGTGCCTGCTCACCATCTGTCATAACTCTGTTTCCCATCACCTCGCTCTTTCCAAACATTTCGCCTATCAAGCTAATAATTTTATATCTGGCAAGAATGTTCAAGGGTGATTTTTTTTCCCCCCCTGTTCCTTAATTTATTTTTTTAATTGCATAAGGAGAAGAATACCTTTAGATCACGAGCCAAGGGAAGGCTGTACCCTGAACTGCATTCACCCACGCTGGTGTTGGAAAGTTAAGGTTTGGCTGGGAAATGGTCTCAGTGGAGAGCAGTGCCTCTGAGCTGGCTGGTGAGATTAACTTTTGGGTTTTGTGAGGTTATTAAGGGTCAAAATCGTGTGCGTGGGGCAGATACAAAGCTCTGTGTTTAGTTTCGGCTGCCCGCTTTAGGAGCCTTTTAAAGGAAGAAAGATGGTGCCGTGCTCTGTCTGGTTGTGGGACTTGTGGAGGACATGGGTCTTCTTTGGTGTTCATGGTGGAAAACCAGGCTGCACGGGGTGAGACCGAAACCCTGGGCAGGACATCGCTGGTGATACGCCATCGTTTTGCTGCGTCTAGCAAACGCTTGCTAGAAACTTGGTGTTAATGGCAAAAGGTTCATTACCACCGTTGTTCATCAAAAAATGGAACAAAGCCTCAATAAGGGGCTTGGCCAATCCTCCTGTTTGTTTTGGTCAGGCTTCCATGAGGTGACGACATGTCGGACGCGTGCCTGCCGGAGCCGCGCATGCACGCCCCGCGGGGCCGGTCTTGGCGTCCCTCGCCCCGGCTGTGTTGGGGCTGCGATTCAGGCTCGTCGCGCCACGCTCAGTCTCGGCAAGGCTCTGCCTTTTTTGCCCGACATCTTTTTCAGACGAACCCTCCAAGCTGTGAGGTCTCCCAGCGTTTCCCTCCCCTCAGAGAGCGCAGCGCTCGGTGGCAGGTGTGGCGGGGGCAAGTGCTGCCCGGTGCCCGTAATGACTGTAATTAAGAAATCGCGTAACTGTGCAACCGAAAGCTATGGGCCTACGGACAGGCACCCAGCGTGGTGCGCTTTTGGAAGACTTCCGGCCTGCCCAGGATGGCAAGGGGGTACAAAAACATATGTCAAGACAGTAGATCGTTTTAAAAAATGAACCTGGCCCCAAACTCTCCTCAAGTTACGTCAGAGAGTGGGAACCGGCAAAAAGCCGTTCCCCACCACAACCCGCGGGAGGCTGCAGCTCCGCCCCCGCGCTCCAGGGGGCGCTGCCCGCCGGCATGGTGGAGAAGCCTCCTCGTCACGTGACGCGCCCTTCGCAGCCTGGGATTGGCTGAGCGGGATCACGTGCGGCGGGAGGGGGCGCGGCGTGGCGGGGAGAGAGGCCGCCGTTGCCAAGGCGACAGGAGGCGGCGGCGC